CTAATCATTATGCAAACAGAATATGGATCGTCGCTAATTCCATGTTTAACGACATTTTTTTCTAGAAAAACCGTCGCAAAAACGGTCCAAATTAAAAAAAAAATGATCGGATAATTAGCGACGGTTTGTTAAAACCGTCACTAAAAGCGGTCCTTTAGGAGAAATTTAGCTACGGTTTTGTGGACCCTCATTAAAGTACTTAAAAGAGTTGCAAATTTCGTCAATTAGCGATGGTTTTTGGATCGTCGCTAATTTTTTCTCACAAATCTGTTGTTTTGTTGTAGTGAACCAACCAGCTATGAACCAAGTTTTCTATGAAAAAGATTTTATTTTCATAAAAAATTCAAATTAATATTATCAACTTAACTAATAAAAATTTACCTAAATTTTAGTCATATTGATTTTGGAAGAAAAGTTTGGAGAAGTTTTTGAGGCATGGATTTTTGGCTACTAAAAAAACAACATTTCAACTTAAACTTTATGAATTAAATATTAATCAATTTTAAATTTTAATGGATAACGTTATTGAAAATATTTGACGAAAAAGTTTCTCTTAATAAAATTTCAAATGCATTTTGAATCGATTAATAAAGGAATTATCTAATTTTTTATACCTTAATGTTAATGGCAAAGTTTTCATTAAAAAAGTCAGGGAGCCATAAATTTTGTGGTTAAGAATTTTTTCATAAAGAAAATAGTTGAAAATTAGCCTTTAACCTTAAATTTAGTAATCAAATGTTCCATAATTTAATTTAGAGTAAAATATCCTTTCATTTAATACGAATATATTTATTTTAAGATTTTTTTAAAAATAGAGATTAAAATTTCGTTGATTAGATTTCGAATTGATTTTGAGTTAATTTATTTATCATTTTTTTTTGCAGGTTAAAATTTAAGAAAAAAATTTCGTATTATCTTAAAATTCAGAGGTTAATTAAATCAGTATCTCTTTTTTGTGGTGCATTTGTGTTTTAACATGAATTAATTAAAAAATTAAAAAATATATATCTTATAAGCATACTCACAGCAGCGCGGGCCCGTTTGCTATTGCCTAATTTGCCTCTACTATTTTGATTTCATACACTACACACAATAGTACAAAAGCCAAGTTTCTGCCTTCTTTCTCCTTCTATAACTTTCTTCCCCAAAAATATTGCCTACCCACTACTTTAATCATGCATTTCATTTTCATTCAAGTCTAACAAATGATGGGATGCCTCCGATTATAGGATCCACTACCAATCATGTCACTTTTAAATTTTTGGGTGATCCGTACATCAAAATCATCAACTAAAACTAAAGTTAAAGAGAGCTGTCCCTTTTCGCCAACCACTGCTTCTTATGGTTAAAAAACTAGTTGCTTTTAGACCCAAAATAATGCACACAGTGGTTCTTTGATAAGCAAAAGATGCAGGTATTTGATTATATCTCTCATGGGAGCTTGCCTACTTGTGCAATTGATTAAAGCCCCCATCCGATTTCATTTTCTATTTTGTATTCTTCAATGCATAGATAGAAAAGATTGATGGGCAGCAAATCACACGATTAATGAATTTGTATGATTGTTACAGTTAAATTAAGGGGAAATCTAAATTTAGCCCCTAACATGTTACCATACTATCATTTAAGTTTCAAATTTTTTGATTTTATCAATTGTATCCCAAATGCAATCTATCCATCCACTATTATCAATATCGATAGAATGGCAATAAAAAGATTCAATTTAATCTGCATTTAATTTGTGTGCTTATTAAGTTCTTCAATTCAAAGTGCCAAAATAATGCCCAATTTTCCATATAGAGCAATTTTAACAATAAATTTTTATAGTAAAGTGGAGATAAATTTATTCTGATTTAGTATTGAAATTGTTGTTTAGGACAAATTGAGGATGATTTTGGCTCTTTGGATAAATGAACTTAAATATCGCTTTAAAATATGAAATCTTTTAACTACCATTAACAATGGAGATTGAAAGGATAACGTGTTCTAGTGTTGATCACACGGAGAAAGAAACCAAAAGGTTTTGGACCGATTGATATTGGGATAAGTACATCAGGAGCTAAATTGAGATTTTTCCTAAATTTAAATCCTTTTAAAGAGTTATAAATTTATATACCACATCAGCATTCTATGTTTTTACTCTCTTAAAATACATTTTTTTGTTAAAATTAGTAGTTATCAAATTTAATCTTACATTACATAGAACTAATATTAATTTAAGATTAAAATCTATTCAAAAATTAAAGTGGTTAATAAAAAAAACTATTAAGTTAATTATTGATCAAGTATAAAACAATTATAGATTAAATAACATGCTAATAAAAATATTTTACTCCTAAAACTTTGACATGTAGTAGAATCCTTACAAAAATGAATATTTTTCATGTTTTTTTTTTAAATTATGTTAAATGTATTTGTATGTATAAGAAAAATATATAAAGAATATTGATTTTTTTGTTAGTGAATAGTATGAAATAGAAGAAAGAATTGACTTTTTTAAATCAATTTGGTATTTGAAAATAATATACTATTTAAAAATTTGATCGGACAAACATTTTTTGTGAGATATTAAAAAATAAAAAAAATAGTGTTTTTGAAACATTAAGAATTTTTTTTTTTAATGAGAAATTAAGGCATAATGTATTTAGATGAATAAATTCTTTTAATTCCAGTTTAAAATTTTGAATTTAGAAAGTTAAAAAAGAAATCAAATCTCTTTTGCTATTAAGCCGATCCCTTGAAATTTGTGAAACACCAATTTGAATGTGGATAATTGAAAAAATAAAAAATAAAAAACAAATTCTACTTTGGGTATCTAAAAATTATCCTAAATGTGACAGCACAAGGTAGTTTTATATTTTCACCTCATAATTGGGACCAAAACATATAAATCTATATTTTTGAATATTGTATTACACTATCTATTGAATATGTACCAAATTTGTCAAATTAAACTGGGAGCATGAAATAAGCAATTCATCGGTAGGTGACAGAGCCGCTTATTTTAATTAAGCGCTCAAAAACATAGCATTAAGTGTTTGTCTTATTGCACTAGAATAGGACATGCTAAAACATGATAAAAGATTAATGCGGTGTCCAATTGATTAATTACATAAAGCAGGAGATGCTTGTGTGATTAATCAAGTATTTGTTTCTGGATTGCTTCAGTGCCCTCCTTCTTCCCTCTTTCCCACCTGTCTTTTGTTAGTGATACATTATAGTTTAGTTTAATGCATCTTCAGAATGTGCAATCATAAAATACTGTTATTGTTACCAAATCAAACAAGAATCTAATAAGGTCATGGGCTGAACTAGCTTTGTCGGTAATGACGTTTGCATTGTTAGAAAAATTAAGGCAATAAAAACAATTTTCTTCCTTCTTATAATCCATGAATCCAGAAGAATTTACAAACAAGAATAGCTCCCTTTTTGAAAATTTCACACTTAATTTGTTTACTTGTGGCCACTTCTAGCTTCATTGATTTTTTTTTTTTTTTTGGTTTTTTGGTTAATATTTGTAGGGGTCCCTTGACTCTTTGTTATTAGAAAATTATATAAACCCATTATAGAATCTTATCTAATAATTTAAATTTTTGAATTGAAATAATTTTTTAACATTTCTTTCTTTATGATGTTCCTCCATCATTTTTTTTTTTGACATCCATTTATTTAAAATTGAAAAAAAATTATTTTTGTTGCAATAATATAGAACTAACATTATGATTTAACATTGTTAGTTCAAAAAGCTAATGAAAGAATACGATCAAGACATAAATCAAATGTAAAAAGATAAATTTAAAACCCAAAAAAAAAAAAATAGAGAGACGTGATAAAAATGCAAGAAAAAACAAAGAAATCCTTGCCATTATTATTTTTATTATTTTTTACTACGTTTTACATAGGATTAAAAAATGAAGTTTAAATTTGTGATCCGATCAAAGATAGATCATCTACATAGGTATAAATGGATTCACGAGATTTACTTTTTAAGATTTTTAAGTTCTAATGGCTAAGGATTAAGCATGCCTATTTAACCATCAAGCTAAAGTAATTGTGTTATTTTTAGCTAATAACAGTGTTATAGCCTGCCGTTGGCAATGTTTCTACGTGAAGGGATGGTGCTTTTCCTTATATTGCTGAAAAAGACAAAAACAATTAAATGATCTTCAACCAAATTATCATAGAGGTAAGCTCCCCTTCTCATCGCCGAGTTGGTTACGGAATTGACAAACTGGTACATGACAGTGAAATGGCAGCTGAGAAGGTTTTTCTTTCAAAACAAGACATCGAATATAATTGTAGCATATAAATTCCATCATATCACTAGATGCAGGTTTGATTTGATTTGTGATGGATTTTTATGCGAATTTTTTTATTAAAAAAAAACTAATAACTTTCTTTCCTCTGTGTACAACAGGGGAAGTATGCCTTGGGCTCAAATTTTGAAGGCATGTTACAAAATATTATGTAAATCAAAGAACCTGCATTGTTGGGGTAATAATCATAATTTCTCCTCTATTGCCTGGTCACAAGAGATTTTAAGTTCAATCTTAATTATGCAAAAAAAAGAAAAAAAGAACCCAAAGGAAGGCATTATTGTCCATGAACTCAACTTTCCACATGAAATTTGATATCTGAAACCTCCAATTCAAAATTCAAAAGAGAAGGAAAAAAAAAAAGGAGAAACATAGTTGCTGAAATCAGGTGATTGTGGGACTTCCTGCCAATTAATACCACCTTTTCCGGTACTTAATTACAACATGAATATGATATCCATAATTCTTTTTTTAATGAACAAAATTGTGGAAATTGATAGTTATTTTCCTCTTCCAAAACCAAATTATACACGTACATCACTCTGCAATCTGTGTTTGATCTCACTACTACTCTAGCAGTAAAGCCCAAGATCCCAAGAAAACATGATATATTTTACGCATCAAACAAGAAATACTCTATCCAGTAACCATTATGGCAGGCATAATTGCAAGAGCAAAATTACTCTACAGCATAATTCGAGCAATCTGATTATATATTTTGTCTTCTTGTTGCCTCGATTTGATTTCTTCTGCACATCTCAACGTCTTCTCTATATGGTATCCACCTCCAATGCTTACTTCCCTTTCTAAATGACAACAATAGCTCTCAAAAACACTAACATTCACATGCAATTTGAAACCCATCAAGAACAAGAATTCAAGCTCCAACTTGTTCAATTCATTTGTTGTCAATCCCCCAACTCTGGCAAAATAAGAATTCCTGTAATTCCTGTTCAAAAATAAATTGCTTAACCACTAAATTTAAAAAACATCAATGTTTGGAAAGTCTTTGGCTTACAATCCGAACCTTATGAAAAAATCATCAAGGAACAGAAAAGAAGCTACAGGGAAAAAAAGAAGAAGAAGAAGAAGAAAAGGATAGAGAACTCACATGTCTTCAACATATTTAGAAGCCACCATGATAGTACTAATAAGAAGCCTATGTACATTTCTTGCATTGATTCTAAACCCCGGATTAGCCTGGCAAAATCGATCAATGTAAACGTAGGCAACGACATAAACTGAAGGTCCTGCACGAGTGTATCGAAAAATTCTCTCAAGATAAGATTGAATTGTCAAGTCTGGTGTCTCATAACAATCAAAGACTCGAGTCCTTGTATCTTTAGATAAAGCCCATATACAGTTCTTGACAATTCTTTCATTCCTTGCCATGGTTCTCTCAATAAGAGAAGCAAGAACAGAAATGACTAGTGGAGTGTTTGAGTCGTTTTGGTAGGAGTAGGAGTATAGATCAGATCGGAGTTTTCTTGGAGAAATTGCAAGAGAAGAAGTAGCCATTGTAGAATCTGGCTAGTTTTCACAAGGTAGAGAAACAAAGAGACAAGTTCTGACTTCTTGTTGTGGAAAATGAAGGGTCTTGACAAGGATTTTATACCAGAAAGATTTAAAGTTCGGTACTGTAGGCTTGGTGGGGAGAGAGAGAGGGAGAGGGCAAAAAAAAAATTTGGCCTTCTGGGGTATTTAGGTAGGTCTTAGAGGGATTTAATAGGGGAATTTAGTAAGCGCCATTACTAAAGCCAAGTGGCCGAAAAACTCCTTTAACTTTCTCTTTCGTGTCTTTTTGGGGGACAAGATTAAGGAAAGATATTAAGTTGTTCTTGGCTTTATAAGTTGAATCGGAAAGTCCAATCAATTAAAGTTAATACAAAAATAAAAACAATCAAATCAGCAAAGTGATTATAATTAAATTGTATTTTTGTATTTTTATTATAAAAATTAAACCTATATTTTCTTATAAATAAGGAATTTTTTCCTGTACTGCCGTGTAATTGGTGAATTTTCCTATTCAATCATTTGCTAAATTACCAAATCAAACTAGTGTAGCAAAACACGGGACAACAAATACTTATATGATAATGAAAAAAGAAGAGGACAATGACATGGGTTTTGGGCCATTTGGAAGGTGCATGGAAGGAGAGATGATAGTATCATGATTAATATACCAAAAGATTTGACTGCCTCCTCTTTGTAAAGCCACAGCACAGACAGAACAGCTAAGCTATTAGTCATTAAAGGATATTAATATTGCAAATTTGTCCATCTGTTCAGCTCGCCGACAGTGGGCTTGGAATAGTGTGGCATGGAAGGGAGTGAATTCATGAGCTGGTAGTAGTACTGGTAGGTCTTTCGGATTGGTGTTTTGGACCCACAAAACTAGACGGCAATTAAAGATGGACTTTGCAATGCATAGAGATTTGTGCCCGCGAAGTCCAATGTGGGTCCTTAACTAATCACACGTGCATTGGCTATTGGCTTGACTTATCGGAATCATCAATCTCGGTTTTTGCAACTTGCAGCACCTGACGTATCTTTCGTTTTGTCCATCAAAGGACTGCTAAGTACCATACTTCTTTTTAAGTTTCTGAATTACAGTCCTATCTAGTAATATACTTAGATTTTTTTCTTGCTATAATATACCGATCCAATAAAATATATAAAATTATTTTTAAAAAATATTTTATTTTAATATTTCGTGTTATATTATATATCTATTGAAATATATTAAATAAAAAATAAATAAATTTTTTAATCAAAATTTTGTATTTGATTGATCATTCTTTATATTTTTCATAAATTTTTTATCAAAAAATTATTTAATAATATAAAAAATGTCAAAATCAATGGATTCTTAGCTAAAAACTTATTTTGTAATTTTTTTAACAAATAGTTTTTCCTTAAAAGACCAAAGTAATCAAAACAATACAAAAAAAAAAAAAGGAATGAAAGCAAATAAAAAATATTTAGAGATTGAAAAACCATATTTAAAAAATAAGGGTTAAAGTGCAATGTTATGAAAAATTTCATAATAAACGTCTAAAAAACATTTGAAAACTATAAAAATACCACTCGTATAGTAAAAAGAATAGTGCTTTTGAATGTGTGTGAATAGTGAAATGAGTGTGGGTAAATAGTATTTCAAATAGTAATAGTGAATAATGATTTTACTTTAGTTTTATTGATAATGTTTCAATTGAAGAATTATAAAAATGGTGGGTCATTTCATCCTTTCATGCCATTCCGACATCTTATATGCAATGCAATGAAAAAATGATCATTTTATGCATGTGCAAATCCAAATTAAACTATCCATTACATAGAATAATGCCACTTACAGGAAACCATCAAGTGTGTTAAGAAGAAAAATTAGGAAAGAAAAGTCCGTTATTCTTGTATAATATATACAATAGTGTTTACAAAAGAACATAGCAGATCCTTATATAGTAGTGAACTTAGTGAGATACACAGAGTTATAATCCTCTACAATTAGCTCTACGTACAACGAGTAACTTAATTAAACAAATATACATTATATATTTCTTAATACTCCCTCTTAAGTTAAGGGTTTATATAAATCGTAAACACCTAATTTGGACAAAAGATAATGATGAAGCTTCCTACCCACGACTTTGTTGAAGATGTCCGCAAGTTGCTCTTTTGATCGAACAAAGACGATCTTAAGGAAACCAGATTGAATCTTGTCTCTAACTAAATGACAATCAATGTCAATATTCTTAGTTCTCTCATGAAAGACTAGGTTAGAGGCAATGTGAAGAGTCGCTTTGTTGTCACGATGCATAATGGCAAGAGCTGAAGGTGTGACTCGTATTTCATTCAAAATTCTAACCAACCAAATCAATTCACAAGTGGTCGAAGCCATAACCCCGTATGCGGCCTCTGCTGAAAAGTGAGACACGATGTTCGTTTCTTAGTCTTCCAAGAGATAAGAGAGCTTTCAAGAAAGATATAAAAGCCGATCAAGGATCTCCAAGACATATGATAAGAAGCTCGGTTTGAATCACGAGTATAGCGTAAGTCGAAGATCAATTAAAGAAGATAATAAAATGCCAAGCCCTAAACCGCATTTGAGATACCGAAACACTCAAATAGCAAAATTCATATGAGAGACTTTTGGTTTATGCATAAACCGACTAAGGAGTTGCACAACATAACAAATATCGTGGCGAGCCATGGTGAGATAAATCGATCTTCCCACTAATCTTTGATATTCGGTGGGATCCGTTAAGAGTGAATCGAATCCGCAATCGAAAGTGTTTCATCAAACCGAAATGAAGTCGGTTTAGAATTTTGCTCGATAGGCATCCCAACATATTTGGAAGCAAGTAAACCGAGCATCATGTAGCAGTTCCATGGTGTGTTTCCTCTAACTCAAACATATTCCATGATTAGATTGTGGAACTTCTATGCCCAAGAAATATTTCAAATCACCCAAATCCTTAATCTAAAAGGTGCCATGTAAGAAAGCTTTTAAATATTGTATGCTAGCCACATCATCTCTTATAATTAGTATATCATCGATATAGACTAATAAAATAATAATTTTGTTATTTATGACCTTGGTAAACATGGAATAATCATGTTTCGATTGAGAGAAACCTCGCGAATCATTTTCTTAGTAAACTTCGAGTTTCACTACCCGGAAGCTTATTTAAGACATAAAGGGACTTAAGCAACTTGCACGCTAAACCCTCAACAAACATGCTAAGATCGAGAGGTAAATGCATATAAACCTTTTCATGTAAATCTCTTTGCAAAAAAGCATTAGTAACATCCATTTGATAAAAGGACCAATTTTGTGTAGCGACCAAAGCAATGACAATGCTAACGGTGACCATTTTCATAATCGGAGAAAAAGTCTCATTATAATCCACCCTTTCTTATTGAGTATACCCTTTCGGGCACTAGTTGTGCCTTATATCTATCTATATTTCCATCGAATTATATTTCACCTTATAAATCCATTTACGACCAATAGGTTTCTTCCTAGGTGGTAAAGGAACTAATTTCCATGTGTAGTTTAATTCAAGAGCTTGGAGTTCCGTAGCCATAACATCTATCCACCGAGGATTCCTAATGGCTTCGGAATAAGAAGTAGGTTTTCTATTAGAAAAAATAGAAGCTAGAAAAGCTGAATGAATTGGAGAAAGAGAATCAAATGAAATGTAATTAGTTATAGGATAATGGACATTAGAATCGAGTTAAGTAAAATGAGATTGAGGTAAGGTAGGACATAAGTAATCATAAAACCAAAAAGGTGTTTTGGATAATCCGATGGACCTACAAAAAGGAACATGATCGAATCATCGCATGGGAAAGAGAAGAATGAGAAGATTGATTTGAAACAAAAGAAGGTAAAATTTATGACTCTTGGGAAAGAACAACGGAGTGTAAAGGAGAAGAAATAGGGTAAGATGAAGTATCATCATCATAAACCTATTGAGAAATAATAGGGCGTGAAAGGTATGAAGTAGGAGAATAAGGTGTATTGGTTGAAACATAAGAAGAATGAAAGGAAATAATGTTTCTTGAAAAGAGACATCTTTAGACATAAAAATATGTTGAGTATGTAAATTCATGACTTTGTAACCCTTTTGTGAGTAAGGATAGCCCAAAAAACACAAGGTTGAGATCCGAAAGAAAACTTATCGAGAATAAGTCATACTTTAGCATAACAAAGATAACCAAACACTCTAAGATGATCAAAGGCAAGAGATTTATGAAGAAATATATCATATAGAGTTTTTCCTTGTAGTAAAGGTGTTGGTATTCTATTTATGAGATATGTGGAAGCTAACATATAGTCTTCCCATAATCTGATTGGAATATTATATTGAAACATAAAAGCTATAGCAATATTTAAACTATGCCTATGTTTTCATTCCATGATTTTATTTTGTTGAGGTGTGTAAGGGACGGTGGTTTCATGAAAAATTCCTTTAGAATAAAGGAATTCTTGACAAGTAGTTTGGAGAAACTCTAAACCCCTATTTGTCCTAATTCTTTTAATGTTATAAAGGAATCGTGTTGAAATAAGAACACAAAAATGCTATAATAATTGAAGTACCCGAGATTTTGTTTTCATAAGAAAATTCTAAGTCCCTACAGAGAAATCATCAACAATAGAGACAAAGTATTTTTTTTTTATTATAAGTGGAATATTTATGAGGTCTCCATATGTCAACATGAAGAAGGTCAAAAGGGAGAATGAGTAATTGATGTACTATGAGGGAAAGGATTTCGTGTTTGTTTGGCAAGAGGACGGATCTCACGGAATAATTCGAATTATGAGTTGATAAAGAAATGCATGGAATCAATTTAAGTATAGAAAAAGATATGTGTCCAAATCGTTTATACCAAAGATTTACATTTTCTAATAGAGTATAAACATATGCTTTATTACAAAAAAAAAAGTCATGAAACTTGGGAGAAATAGTATTTGAAGAAACATTATTGATGGTAGAATTGTGAATACAAGATAA